CATCTCTGCTTGTAAACCATTAATAGCAGATGTTTAAACATGGGAATTCTGGGGTGTGATCCACAACATGCCCTAGAGCTGCTGCTTTTTCCCTGGATATAATGATAGTATCCGCGACTTTTCTTCTAATTTTCCTTCCAATGAAATTTCAGACAATCCATTTCCTCATGGTAACAAAACTGTCATTGTCTGTTTTCATCCTTTCTGCTCCCAAAGACCAAGACCAGCACTTTCACAAAATCCTGAGCCTTTTCCCAAAGTTGGGAATCAGATTCCTCTTACCAGTATCAGGTTAATTGATTCCCTCCCCCCTCCCCCCCCCCCCCGATAGTCCAAGGGATTTTTGTTCTCCAAATATTTTTTGGGCATTAGGAGATCTGAGATAAGGGAGGTAATCATAAATCATCTGTGTGAAGCTTTGCAGGGTCAGGGCCATAGCAGGCACTATTTTGTAAATGGAAAGTACAAGTGGAATGCTATTTCTGAAAATACTCCTGCAGAAACACAACCTAGGGGACAGAAATCCACAACCTAGAGATGTGGAAATTCTAGAAAAAGAACTGTCCTTTTGTACACAGAAATGCTGAGGACAGCCTAATGTTGAAGAGTCTAGCTTTGAGCTTTGCTTTGAAGGTTGAACTTCAGTGTACCAAAAACAACATTTGTTTCTTAATGAGATGCTGCTGGTTATTGAGACTACTCTAAAATGTATTCCACTTAAAGGTATAACTCTGATGACCACATGTCCTACCTATCAAGATATTGTGGCCAATTCCACCAGTGTGCTGTGCCACCTTCAGATAGAGGAAATGTTCAACTAAATTTTACTCTTCGGAGGAAAAAATAACTCTTCAGTTATTAGTGAGTTTTCTTTTTTAAGATTTAATTTGCAATGATTAGGTCAAGCTGCCTGTAGTAGCAGGCAAAATTCCCCAACCTAGTTCTTGATCTGCCTCCCACTGGGAATGGGCTGGGGCCAAGGGAGGAACAACAGAGTCCCCACACATAACTCCTTGGAGCTGGGCTCTGCTGATGGGCTCTCCCAGCCCATCACAGTATGACTGCATGGCCTGCAGGCAGCTGCACTTGTTAGTCAGAGCTTAGCAACCCTCCTCCTGCAGTGACATCTCAGTCTTTGTAGCTCATGGCATGGAAAATGATGGGAAGTGATGTTTGCCAACACACCTGTTTTTGAAGTGTTAAACACTCCCAGTCAAGACCCAGCATGCTTTGATGAGGTGAGTTATCCTTTTTGAAATGTCCTTGGCTTGCTGCCTTGTTCCTTCTCATGACCCTGTGTGTACCAGCAGGTTGCTGCTCCGACCCAGAGATGTCATCTGGTGCCTTTATCTTCATACATACTGTAGGTGCAGGACACACTGCAGCCAGCCAGGAAATCCTGAGAACATGGATTTCAGGAGCATTACAGAGAGATCCTTCCTCTGCTTTTCAGTTTAAGGTTGCTTTGGACCTCTGCTCTTTGCAGAAGGATTCCCGTGGGTGTGACTGGACAGGGAGGAAGGTTATTAAGAACTGCTTGTTAAATAAAACCTGACAGTAAGTGTTTTACAGTGCATAGGTGAACCCTGCCATACTTTTGGAAATCCCTATCACCTTTTACAAGTTTCTGCATGACTACAGGAGTATCATATAGCACAGTCGTTGAGGAAAGTTTCAATATTATTTGTGTAAATCATGGGGCACACCATGTGGTGTCTAACTTGACAACTTTAGGCTTTTGTCTTGAAGGAATATGGCTGGCAAGCAGGGAAATCCTAGGAGTTATTCTTCCAGAGAATAACTACTGACATTGTAATACCTGGTTAAGGTGCTAGTAGTAGATAATTATCTATTTGCTGATTCATATAGTCTTCCTTTGAGGCATAAAATGGTGTCTAAAATGATAAAAGGCCAACACATACATCCATAGCTTTTTCTCTAATTTGACGTTTTGAAATGAATGTAAAAAATACATTCTTTGCATGGACAAACATAGATGTAGTTTTTCCTAATACACAGTCCTGGCACTGTTTTCATCTTTTTCTCTTTAACCTTGATAGGAGTGATCCTTACTGATCTGAAGGTTTGTGGAGAATTTTTGTTTTGTTTCTTTTTATAAAGGCTAATTTTATTTGAAAACCAAACTTTTTTGTAGCTTTTATCTTTCATATTTAAATTTACTTAGAGCACAAACAAGATGGAGAGAATAGTTTTTCTCTGTGTGTGTGTGATTCACTTTGCAGGTGTCAATGTAACCTTATATGGAATGAATTCATTTAGGTTACATGAGAATGACCATCAAATTAGACTACATTAGGCATGGGACCAAACTGCAGAAAATTTTCTTCTATTGAGGCTACCAGAATGGAGATGGTTGCATGAAGTGTTTATTTGTGCTTTTGTGTCTAAGCAGGGAATCTGAAATGAGTGTGGCTGAGGACACTGTTTGCCTGGTTTGAAGAAAAGGAGGCTGAGGGGTGACCTAATTGCTCTCTACAGCTTCCTGATGAGGGGAGGCAGAGAGGGACGTGCTGAACTCTTCTCCTGGGATCTAGATCCAGTGACTGGATGTGTGGCAGTGGTTCAAAGCTGGGTTAAGATGGGCTCAGACTAGATGTTATGAAGCATGTCTTTACCAAGAAGCTGGTCAGACACTGGAACAGGCTTTCTAGACGGGTGATCAATGCCCCAAGCCTGTCAGTGTGTTAAGAGGTATTGTGACAAGGCCCTTAATAGCACACTTTTAACTTTTGAGGAGCCCTGGATTGGTCTGGCAGTTGGACTTGGATGATTGTTGTAGGTCCCTTTCAACTGAAATAGTCTGGTCTATAAATTATAAAGTTGTACTGCCTGATTTAATTTCTATTTTTACTCTGAGGAAAATACTAGTGGTAATTTTCCCATTTCATTACTGAGGATGTATCCTGCTATAAGCCACAGCACAGTAATTCTACAAAGCCATGACATGTGTGGAGCTCATTACTGCTGTAACAGTACATCTCTGTGAGAAGACCTAACCAGTTTTTCTCCTGAGACTCCTAAAAAACCTGGCCTAGTAGGAGAGGCCTGCCCTGAAATTGAGCTGTTTGACACTGGAATAAGTTAGTCTTCCACAACAGAAGAGTCACCTTAACAAGACAGTCTAGGGCCAGTTCTGCTTTCACCAGATTGCAGAATTCTTGAAGGAAACACAGTCTGTAATACAGAGCTGCAACTGTAAGAAATGTCATGGGAATTTTTAGGTTTTCATCATGTTTAGCCCTATTAGATTTAAATGAAACATCCACTAACAATGCAGTTTATGCAGCAGTCCCTTGGATATGTATTCCTTCTGTCTTGCTGCAAATTGTGCAGCTCTACCACTGCCATGGCTTCAAGAATCTGAATTAAAGGCACTTGCAGAGTATTCTATGGAGTGTAAATCTTTTAGAGGAAATGAAACTTCCATTATTTGTGTCTGCATCTGCATGACTTGGCTGTGACCTTATGGCTGGCCTCCCAGTGAGCATATGTCCAGCTACAAAGTTATCTTCCTGACTGGACATCCTTTAGCTCTATTGGTAATATTGATTCCCTGCAGGAAGATCAGACACTTTCACACTTCACAATGGTGCCATAACAGGGGTACCAGCAGCCTCCTTTTGAATACCTGAGACCTTTTCTCCTTTGAAGTTTAAGATTAATGACTGCAAGTCACTGAAAGGCACTGCACTGAAAGGCAGCAGTTTGCCAGGCCTTAGCTGAGAGTCACATGTGCCTTCAAAGTTGGAGCTGTGTAACACAACTAAAAAATCCCTGCTTTCTTTTTCCTGGAAGCAAGCAGTCTTTCTGCCTATTGTTTTGGTTTTTTTCTTTTTTAATTAAGTAATCCCACTTTCTTTTGTCTTCCTCCCTCAAACTAGTTCTCGTTTTCTTTAGGATCCTTTCCATCAACATATCTAAACTGCCCAGGCTGTCTAGTAAACCCTCTGGTCCTGGGAAATCTGCTCCATTTTGCTGTTGAATTTTTATCCTGCTTATCTATCTGTAGAATTTGCTTTTTTGGGGAACTGGCTGAGTGGAATTAGGAACAGCATACCTTTCTTGGATTTTTGCATGGCAACTCTCACCTTCTTATAACAGGACTATGTAATATGCTGTCAAGAATGACTTCTTCAGTTCACGCTTCTAGGTTTTTACAGTTCACAATGCTGTGACACAAGGTACTTGAGATACTTGGCATAAAGTCCCCAGGTGCCTGAAGGGCCCTGCAGCTCCTGAGCTCTTGCTGCCAGCACTTGGGCATCTGCTCATTTGTTCATTTAAAAGAGCATGGACATTTCTTTTAAAGCTATGCAGAACCTTGTCTTTGCTGATGAGATAAAAATATAAGCTACTCTGTGATACAAAAAAAAGGTCAGCTTGTCAGATTAGTTCTGCTGAACCTCTGTTACTTCTTTGCATTACTATGAAAGTAATGCAGAATGATTTGGCCATTGATTTAGGCCAGAAATGGTGAGTGGTCTGCTAATAGATATCTTTGACATTTGTCAAAGTGACAGGAAGGAATTAATGCACTATACAATCTGCTGTGTTTGCTCATGATTCCAACCTCTAAGAAAAAAAATGTATCTAAGTGCCTCTCAGTTGATTGAAGTTTTCTTGCAAGAAGCTACAGCTGAGTTACTGCTGCATTCTTTAGGAAAATAAAGCTGAACTGAGTTCTCTATTCTCACAAAAGCTTGTGGAAATGTGGAATATTTTAGGGTAATATAATGCACAGCCATTGCTTTTGCTTTAAGAATAGTGAGCTGTTATGTGCTGTCTCATCCAGGACTGGCATTCACATTTCCCCCTTTCAGAGCAGAACCAGAGGTTTTTTGGTTTTTATCTTTCCCTTCATTTTGACCGGCAGGGAGTATTTTCCCCTCCCCTGGTGCACATTCTCCAGATGCCGTCAGCTCCTGCAGCTCTCCTACCTCTCTGTCCCCTGTAAAGCACTGAAAGGGTTCTCCTTGCAGTTCCAGGTCCTTGAACCCGCCAGCTTCAACCATGCGCTGGGCTCTGAGGCGTTACCCGCACCCCCCGGCTCCCGCAGGGCGGGGCTGCCCGGCCGCACAGCCGGAGGTGGCGAGGCGCGGGCGGACCTTTCCTGAGCCCGTCAAGTCCGAACGGCAGGAGACAAATCACACCAGTAACACACCAAGGAAAACTCCCGGCTTCGTCCTGTGTTGGTAGGAAATTCCATTTTTTTACAGCCCCCGCCGAGATCCCAGGGTTTCACCTGTTGTTGGTACAGGGGTTGTATTAAAGACTTCCCACGAATTATATCCGGTTTAAAAGTGGATTATTGTAGGCACATTTTTATAACAAGAAGAAGTGTTGTTGGCAGCATATTTTAATTATGCTCTGAAGCTCATTGAGGAAAGGATCTGTTCTGAACACAGGAAGCTATATATACACATTTGAGTGCCTATTTCCACGGGGCAGGTACAAGTGCTTGAGTGTTGCTGAACTCCCAGCGCATGAGCAATCTGTTAAATGTCTATAAAAGTGCAGGCTTTCATAGGAAGGGGAGGATCCACCACCCCGTGAAAGGCACCTCTTCCTCTTTACAGTCACTGGAGGGAGACAGGCAACTGTGATCATGAGACTGATCACATCTGGAGAAGCCCTAACTCTTTTCCCTGATGGTAAAGAGACTCGGGAGAAATCACGTACCTATGACAGGGTAGCTAATTTATTTCATCACTGCCTGATGCCAGCTGTGAACTTAGTACACCTGAGGCTGGTTGCCATGACTGCTGTATATGAACAACTTCTGTGATCTGTTACTGAAGGCAACAAGGTTTCCACTAAGAAGTGCCATTTCTTTAATTTTTCTCCATGTTTAGAGGTTTTGGTTTTTTTTCTTTGCTATTAAAGGCAGAGGTGTATAGCACGTAGAACAAGCTCACTTACTCTTTGGAAACTACATGTAATGCATGATACATGGTACAGTGTTGCCTGGTCTGAATGGATAACAGCTATAAGGTGCACATGCTGCTTCCTAAAAGAAAGCATCCCAGCATCTCCAGGAACTCTTCTTACTACTCTGCTGTAAAGTCTTCATTGGCTGGAGAAAGCACTAACCCTCTCCAGAAGCATCTAAATTAGATTGGGGATTTTTTGAAGCACACCCACATCAAGTAAATTCATCTAAGTAAACCACACGAGCTCCTACATCAGAAATGTCACTGGGATATTTGGGGTGTCCTGAACCTTTTTACAAAGCACGACAAAAAGAATTTTCTCAGATTTTAATCACCAGGAAATTGTTATGCTAATGAAGCCTAACTGGTATAAAACACACAGGAGTGAGGCAGGGCTTACACCCAGAACACGTGTGTACCCAGCTAAATCTTTCAGCAGGTTCAAAATGTTCCCTGCCCCTGTTGCCCACGGGATTTGTTTTCTCTGAGCACATCTCGTCTATTTCAAGCACTCAGTAAATATGCAATTTAGCTCTTCATCGGAAGAGGGAAGAATATTATTTGTCTACTATCCCTGTGCTATAGGCTTCAGATGAGTATTTAGGCAACCAGTTTGGCAGGCCTTCCTGGCTTTGCGTTAAAGATTCCGACTTGCAGCTTGCAGAATAATTACAGAGTTTGCAGAGGTCCGCTCGGCCTCTGTTGCGTTGGTGAGGAAGTTCATGGATCCACCTGGCTTTGAGCAGGGTCTGTTAAGCGTCACGCGGGCCTGGGTTTTTGATATGCTGCTATTCAAGGTGATTTGCCAAAGCATTTCGTGCTTTGTCTTTGTTCTCACTCTACCTGCATTCCCGTTTCTGTTACTGCTCAGTATCAGTGTTCCGTAGTCTCCGTGAGTAACGAGGGGGTGGACACACATTCAGATGTAGAAGGGCAGCAAAGTTCTTTACAAATGAGCTTGAAAACCGCAATCCCCACTTCCTACTGCTCTAACGCTGGAAAGCTGCCAGGATCTCCAGAAGAAATTAAGCCCCAAGACAATGTCGCTTTTGTCCTGGGTTTATTAGTTATCTCGAAATACCTCGGGACGCCTCTGTAAGTAGATATTAATCAAAAAAAAAAAAAAAACTGGACGCAGGGGAAGGGCAAGGGGCTGGGGCCGGGCGCGGGCAGCCCCCTTCCCCCGCTCTCGCAGGCGAGTGCCAAGCGCCGGGAACATCCGCTGATCTGCGGGGGCGAAAAGGAGACGGTCAAAAAGCGCTTTCCCCTGAGAGGCCCCTTTTGCAAGTCCCTCCCCGTTGCTCGGGGCATGGCCCCGGTGCCCAGCAGAGCGCCCTGCAGGGCAGCTTTCCCTGCTCTGCCCTCCGCGGGGGAGCAGGAGGTGCGGTGCCGCCCCTTCCCCCGGCCGGAGGCGCGACGGGGCGGCGCCCGGCACGGCCACAAAAGGCTCGGGGCGGGCTGCGGGTCCCGATCGGAGCTGCTGGGAGCGAGCCCGGGTAGCAGCGAGCCGCGGCGGCTGTAAAGAACAAGGCTTGCACTTGTCAAGGTACGTCTTCTGCTAAGGGAAAAACACGGTAGGGATTATGCGAGAGGGACGTTTCCCTTCACTAGTGACTCGATGCTGTTTTCTCTCCTTAGTGGTTTAGTTCTGTTCTTGCACCAATTGACTTCGCTAAAGGTAGTGCACTGGGCAGGGGCTGTTTTGAACATGGGCTTGTGCTAGTCCTGCCTTGAGTGGCACCCTTTGTGCCTTGCTTGGCTGTAGTGTGTCCAAAAAGGATGTTCATGTGCCTTTTCCTCTCTGTGTGTCTGCAGGTGGATTTCTCCTTCAAACTCTTCCCATTTGAAGACTTCCTGCCCAGCTGCAGTGATGTGGTTGTTGGAAAAGATCAGAGCATCACATGAAAATGGAAACCTCCCCAGTTCTTCTTTCCTGGGACTACCACAAGGCCAAAATCTGCCAGAAAAAGCTCAATTGAGGGCTGCTGCTTTTCCAAATGTGATCACTCCTGACAGAATCCCTGAATTCTGCATTCCCCCCAGGCTGACCAGCTCTGGCTCCATTAAGGGCAGTGGCTTCCACCAGGATCACAGTTCAGTGGATGCAGCTCTTGCTTCTGATTATAGCCCCAGCTCTTGCCCACATCTCATTCAGGTGGAAAGTGTTGAAGAGGAGATCTCTGCCTTGGAGGAAGAAAGCACCAATGCAGACCCACAGTCCCAAGCAGCACTCTCCCTGCCCCACTTTCCCAGAGCCCCCACTTCCTATGGTTTCTGCACTTTGCTGGAGAGTCCCCACACCAGGAGGAAGGAGTCCATCTTCCATGGTGATCCACGTGGTGCTCTGCCCAGCCTGAAGCTGTCTCGATCCAGAGCTAACACCTTCAGTGGCAAAGGGAGTATGTCTAATCCCATTGCTATCAGCTTTGCTTCTGTGAGACTGCCGCCCAAGCATCTCTCTCTGCACAGGCAAGGTGCCTGTGACAGTGACACTGCCTCTTCCAGTGATTCCTCTCCATTCAGTTCTCCACTTCTCAGCAGGTCACCTCCCAGACCCTGCTCCCTGATCAAGGCACAAAGTCAGGAGGGATTGCTCTGCAGAGCACTGAAGGACAAGAGCAAATACATTATGCCCAGGAACAATTCTCTCTCTACAGAGGAGAGCAGCTCCACTGATAACAGCCCCAGTGCCATCAGGAGAGCCTCTGAGGGGCTGCTTGGCATACAGAGCTTTAGCACCTCCTATTCTCCCATGTTTCCAGTGGACCTGACCTGCAGTCGGGAGAGACTGGTGGGAGAAAGTACTGTGGTAATGGACAAGGGAGGTGTGTTGAGGCTGTCAGCTGAATACTGCTCAGAGAACGAAAGGCTGCGGATCCGCCTGATCAGTGCAGAGGGTTTATATGATGATTCTGTAGAGCCCAAAACCATAAACTGCTGTATCTCCTTCTCCCTGGTGCCAGGGAAAACACAGAAGCAGAAAAGCACAGTTATAAAGAGAAGCAGAAATCCCATCTTCAATGAGGACTTCTTTTTTGATGGCATTGCGGAAGAAGATCTGTACAGCCTCTCTGTCAGGATGAAAGCAACAAATAAAGGGTGCAGTATGAAACGAGATTATACCTTAGGAGAACGGGAATTGTCTTTAATGAGTATGTTGTCAGTGTAGTGCTTCAAATAGTCAAACAAATTGTCTTCTGAAAGTTTTCTACTAAATAAAGTTTTAGGTTGACTTTTATGTTGTTGTTTTGTTTTGGCTTTTTTTTTTTAAGAATACTTAAAAGCACTGCCTTGCTTGGTGTTACTGTCATGCTCTTGTGCCTTGTTTTGCTGTTTAACACTTCAAATCTGAGATATTGACAGGAGGGGGAAGAAGGGCTAGTTTTTCTTTAGGATAAAGGATTAGGCCATTACCAAATCAAGGCTGTTCTTCTATATAGCTTTCAGGCCATAAAATTCAGGTAGAAGTGTTTTTCACTCTACCTGGTCCCTAAGTGGGTAACAGTCTGTGCACACAGTATACCCTGAACTCTATCGCAGCTCCTTGGTGCAAGATCAGTTCAATGGACCATTTTGACAGCACTCATATTTGCACAAATGAATGTTTTAATGAGCCCTATGTTCAGAGGGAGAATGAGGTCTTTTACAACAGGTGCATTTGGATTCCCAAAGCTGGTATAAGTTTGTGTTGAGGAAAACAAGATCAGCTGCTGAGCAGCAGCTAAAAGCCACTGGAGGCAGGGCTCTCTTTACAGAGTCCTACAGTATCAACACTTGAACAGCCTGGGTGAGGTTGCAGCACGGTCAGCATCTTCTTTTACCTTCCCTTTCCATGGTCGGTTTCACAGCCCACAGAATCAAGTTGCCAGGTAATTGTGTTTTGATCAGGAATGTTCCTGAGAGCTACAGCCCTCAGCAATTCAGCCATTGAATCCTTTCTGAAGCTGAAGCAGATAAGGTATCAGTGCAGCAAGGGCAAAGGACAGTTTGGGATCTCGGCATTGAATTCCTGCTTCAGTTAATGACTTGCTCAAGTCATTGTCATACAATTAGTGTAATCAATCTGTCCTGTCACCAAGCTATGAGTGGCTGAAGCACTTGCTTCAGTGCCAGGGGAAATGGGAAACACAAAGGTGCAGAACTCCTGCATGCTTGAGACCATTTCCCCTTCTTTTTTTCTTTTTTTTTGTAATGAGGTTTACTTGGGGCTGTGTAAAATGGATAAATTAGTGGGAGTAGGCAAAAGTGTCTTGAAAGTCCAGGCCTGTTGCTGTTTCCCTTGGGTAAGCTGCAGGCTTCATTACTTGAAGGGAGATAAGCCTTAATGGAGGATCAATCCATGCAGGCAAGGGGCAGAGAAAACAAAGGTTTACTTTTGTGTTCCCTTTGAGGCTGTAGAAATAAGGCCTTCCTAGTGCCCAAATACACATCTTAAATGCTATTTCACAAAGATTTTAGCAGGATCTCCCTTTGGCCTAGTCTGGCAAGAGTCTAGTTGTCTGCAAATCATGGGACTGCTCACAGGGAGACTGTGGTATTCCTTGGCCAATGAATAATTTGATTCTGTTTCAGACAGAAATACTCCAGGAAGGATAGCAGAAAATTCCTTCTGATAGCAGAAAAAGCCCAAAGGATGTTAACTGTGACCACAAGTCCTCAGAAATGCCTACTGCTAATCCTTGATCCAACCCACGTGAGATGCTTTTAAAACCAGAATCCTTGTACAAAGGACAACTCACACAGGTTGTGCTAAGGGAAGAAATTAAATGTACTGACACACTGCTCAGGTGGAGGTGATGCACTGTCACTTTTATCCTTGAATCTGGGCAAATTTACCATAAGGGAAAACTTAAAGGAAGTGGGGAGAAGTGAAACTAAAAAATGTGACCTCAAGGAAGAATCAATAATGTTGCAAAAAAAAAAAAGAAAACAAAAGCCAATTTAATTAGTTATTGCATGGAGTCTCCTGGCTCCATCTCAGGCTTGTCACTCATCCACCATCACATTTTTAGCTCTTGGGGTTTAGAGTCTCTTCACAGTTATATTCACATGGAGAGATTTTCTGATATAATACAGAACAGTTACAGGCCTCAGAGGATCATGTACAGTCGCACTGTGCTGGGTATCTATCTGCCCTGTGACCTGTGCCATGCCCTGCTGACTGCAGGGACACAGAATGATGGGAAGGTTTGAGGTGGGGAAGGGGCCTTTGGGGATTCCTGCTGGAAGCACAGTCAGCCCCAGCAGGTTGCCCAGGACCATGTCCTGTATTGGGCTTAAAGTGTCTCCAAGAATGGAGACTCCAAAATCTGCTTGGGAAACATACTCCAGTGTTTTACCACCTTACCAGCAGAAAAGGGTTTTTTTTTCTGCATAAGTGAAATTTCCTGCATTTTAATTTGTCCTCATAGCCTCTTGTCCTGTCACTGGATACTGCTGAGTAAAGCCTGGCTGTATCCTCTCCACTCCCTCCCAGCAGATACTCACACATATCAATGGGATCTTCCCTGAGCCTTTTCTTCTGCAGCCGAGTAGGCACAGTGCAGTTACTGACACAAAATAAATATGCTTCTGAAGTCTGATCTTTTATCAGGTAGAGAAGGAGTTAAGTCCTTAAAAAAGTTTTCCCTTCCTGTCACAGGAAGATAGGTTTCCAACTAGGTCCATCTGTTCAAGTATTTAAACAGGTGAAGGCCACCTCTTTGGTTGGTTCAAAGGAAATTCAACTGTTTTTTAAGACTCTTTAAAAAATGATATATTTCTGAGAAAGCCTCCTCATGGAAGTCTGATGATAGGCCTGCAAGTTAGAGGGGGACAAAACAAAGCAGTAGAAGACTTGCAGACCCAATTCAAAGGCAGAGTTTCAGCCTGGGAAGGATAGAGGGACTTTGCCTACATTTCTCTGGTAAATAATTTAGATTCAGGTTTTTCTGATAATTTTCTTCTTTAATATAAGAACTTCGAATTAAATACCTATTCAGACACATTAGACTAGACTAGATATGAATGTAACACTAGATGGAAAACAGTTTTGGTGGGCTCTTCCCCCCATTTTATTATGTCTCTTTATATTTTAGAGTGTTTGGATAATTTTGAATTTTGGGGTGTTGCTTATCAGGTGTTATTAACAATGAAAAGCCATAATATAATTTGAACACTTCAATTAACCTGACTAGAAAACACAGGACTTGTTTTCCTGTGCTCTCAGAGGCCAGTTAAGCTGTAAGTGGTGAACACCTACAACACTGCCTATGCTGCAGCTGCTTTCCGTAAGCGTCAGCCTTATTGGGGCAATTACGTAAAACACCTGCATAAGCAAACAAAAAGGCAACTGGCTACTTCAGCCTGGAAAAACTCATGATGCCTCAATGCTTGTGTTAGAGTCAGCAGCAAGAAGAAAATGAACCTCTTGGCATTAGCAAACAGCTACTCAGAGTTAAGAAATATTATCTTCAGGAATTTTTGGAACTTCTAAAACACCATGAAAATATGGGAGCATAAGTGACTCTTTCAAGCAAAACTCTTGTTTTGGGTATAGTCTGATCAGCTGTGTTCAGTGGTAGTCACTGGTTGGAAGATCACATCTCAAATTTGAAAAAAAACCCCAGACAATTGTTTGAGGGAAAGAAGGTCATTATGCCAAGATCCTGGACTCATGTTCTACTAAGCAAATATTATTTGTTTTACCTCTACTGGAAGTAATACTTTTGCTGGCCTTATCAAATGCAGTTATTTTGAGAGTCCTTCTTCAGTTCTGGAGAAATGTTACTCTTGCTAAGCAATGTTTATGTTTTGCTTTCCAGAAATCCACTCAGGTTATCTCAAATACAATTTGACTTGAAATATATTGAGGTATGGTATGGTAAAATGCAATTCCTGTAACTGAGCTCCTTTTCAGGTAAAATTCAGAAGTAACACCAAAGGAAGCAAATACATGTGACCTAAAAAGCCTAGCTGGACAGATCTGTAGGCCAGGGATTAGGCAACACAGTGTTTGCAGTATCAAATTCTGCTTATTGCATCACTTTTTCTAAGCTGCAACCATTTCTCGGACTGCCTTTGGAGAGGCACTGCCGAACACAGCACCTATGCTGCTTCTAAGTGCTTCATCTTCTGCTCCTGGGGCTTGGCTTTTCAGTCAGCCACAGTGACTGTGGTGAAAGACTGAGCATATGATGGGGCCTAAAGGGCAAAAATTCTTCTATTTTTTTAGTCTAGGTAGTAATTGCTGTGGGTAAACTCTTAGTTTCCTTAGAGAACCAATGAAAGAACAGTTAGATAAATGAATAAATCTGTGAAAAGCCTATATGTGGGCTGCCAAGCTGGGGAAGTTGTCCTGGAGAAATCTGTGCCAATGGGATTGATCAGTGTGAGGACCACTAGAGAGGTCATGCAAGCTGTGTGCATGGGGCCATCCCATGCTCACCACGCCTTTCCCAGCTGTTGGCTGCTGGGTAGCTATCCTGCATCTACGCTGGAGCTTCAGCTTACAAGGGTGTCTGAACTGTGGGCCATGATATTTGGCCAGGGTAGGAAAGGGAACAAGTCATATCTGTTGATAGCTTTTTACAGCAGGATTAAAAGAGCCTTACACTCATAGAATGAATAGTATAGCTAGAGGCTATTTGTTGTTGAGTTCTGTGTGCCCTGAACAAAAAATGTGTGTAAGATTTATCTGCATATTTAAATGAAGGGCTTTTCAGTACAGACTTAATGCTAGTGACTGTCGCTGAGATGTACTCTAATATTATTAATAGTGCCTTAGAAGCAAAGGCTGATGCTGGACAATCTGTCCTTGTAGCCAAAGTAAAATGAAGTTTAATATTGTGGAGGGTCTGCGAACTAACCTACCCTGCACTGAGGTGATTGATGTAAAACATAGGATTGATGCCCCAAAGCCCATCTCAGCCTGGGCTGAGTGCTACCTGCAGGGTGGGGAAAGGCTCTACATTCTTTGACTATTTTGTGCCTTCATTAAGATTGACAAGAAAGTCATGTTTTGTGCTGCTGCATCTTTGCATTTAGGATGCATTTTCCTTTTGAGAGGAAAAGAGCTTCCAGTAGTTCTTTGTTCCTGTCAGAACAGAAATAGCTACAGCCCAGGTTCCTGGTAATAGGTGGCAATTGAGGAGAACTACTGGGAACTGAGCACAGTCAACTGGAGGAGAGGAAGGGTCCAACAAACAGGAGTGAATAGAATTCATAGCCCTTTTTGCTTAGATAACCACCATAGGTGGC